TAATCAAATAAACTCTATGAGATAGGATGAATCGACAACTATATCGTGAGCAGCTCAATGCAATTCCTGTAGATTGATAAGTAGAAAGAAATATCTAGCAAATGCTCCTATGTGATGCATGAATATGAAGTTCAACGTACCTCCATTTATGATAAGCTCGACCACAATAAGTTACTTGAAACTTCACAGCAGCTTCCTTCAAGCAAGTGCTACTTACAAACTTAGTTCTAAGACTACTCTAATGGTGTTTTAGAGCTTAATTGGACAACTACATAGAAGGTGGTTTCTTCAATCTTCTCCTTTTGCTTACCTTGCAAAACTAGATTACACAACCTCATACACAATCTGTCAAATCTAATAGAAATACAACCACCTGCGACAATGATAAGATAGAAAAAATAGATATAAAGACATGTTGCAGAAATCATGCTCATTACGCATGTAGTAAAATGCCGAAGGAAACCAAACCATGCAATCTAAAAACCATGAACATATAACACAACATAGTGAGAACTGAACATACTTAATTCAGACAAACAATGGCAAAATCGAATGCATACACAAATATTGAAACATCCACACAACAATAAGGACAAGCACTCAGCAAACATGCACATTCAAAGAAAATAAGATCGTTAAACACAGAAAAACAGGAAGGAAAGACTCCCCCTGAGGTTGTCCTTGCAGAAGAATAATACAGAAAAGATTCACTGAAAGCCAAGTTGTTTCCACCATCCATCCGTTGGTAGCCATGTGGTGCAAGAAAGGGACTAACTTTGTTCCCGAGAGTGTCGCTTTTTTGGCCTCACTGGTAAAAGGTTTTCAATTTTATCTTTCTGCATTTCTGTTGTGTATACATTGTTCCCAGTGTTAGCATTTGGGATAAAGTAGTTCAAATTTGCAACAAGATCCGATCTGTGAATTTGGTAAAAGAAGTTCACTAACATTTTATATTTACAGGAAGAAGAAGAAACTCATTACACCATGCTCAATACATGATGATTTTATGCAGCTTCTGGGCGTAAATAAAGAAACATAACATCTTTAGCTTTTGACAAAGTGATATCTAGATTCAACGTAGGTTTCAGCATCCCACAGGAATGATCCGAAAGCAACAGCTTCCAAGATGAGCATTGTCAATCCAGAGAAGGTAAGTGCAATCACCTCATCATTAGGTGCATCAATTGAACCATCCGCGGCAATCCTGATGTCAGGTTTCCCAAACAGGGCTTGTGTCTGGTTTTCAATCAAAGAAATAGCTTCCTTTGATCTTATAGTAGCATATCTCTGAAGTGTCTCTGCATCCAAGTATGTCACATAGGATCTCAATCGATATGACTTGCTATCACTATCACTATCACTAGCACCTTCAGGAGCTATCCGAATCAAGGAATCAGGGTCCCAAAGCTGGTTTGCTGGTGCTGGATCTGCAGTGAAACCCTCAGGAAGGGTGTTCATGGTTCTCTCAAGCTGGAACCGCTCATCAACTCTTTTGAGAAAATATCCGTACATTATTGAAGCAGCATACAGCTTTCCAAGTTTTATTTTGCTAATCTCAACCATGGAAGAAAGGGGGCCCACAAGTCGCTCACCAAGTACAAGGGATAAGTGGCTCTGTATCATCTCATATGCTTCAGGAGAGTGAACAGACTCTAGTTTCTTTTCTTGGTTTGGCCAGAAATCCACTCTACCGGTGGGATCTGATGTCTCTGATATCTTCGGGATCATTGAAATTTCACGGTCTACGAATTTATGCACTATCAAGCAGTATATTATCTCTTCCAATGCCATGCGCCTTTCTTTATCCTTGACTTTAGCTATTCGTCTAAAATTCATGATTTTACTTAATTAGTTCCCATTCCCAGACACCAAAACAACTAAGAAAACAATAGTTGAGGAGAACAAATAAAGAGCAAAGACCTTGTTAGACATGTATAAAGCTAGTTACAGTATGAAGAGAAATTGATAACAGTGCCTTTTAGACACCTGATCGTGTCTACTTCAAATTGAATTTCATGAAAATAAATAAAACCTTGTAGCTATTATTCAACATTGGTTACTTAAGCAACCAAAGCTCCTATGGTCAAACATTTTATTTAAAAACCAGATTGAAAATGGGAAATAACTGGAGCAGCACATAACATTATTCAACCTGTACTACAATGCTAATCTCCAAGGGGTTTAAACCTAGTAAATTCAAAGAAAAGGGAACTATATGGATTTCAAACTTATCGTTTTAAGAAGAAGGCGGAGTGAGCATAAGATGGGATGATATCATTATAACAACAGTGCAGATCTAATGCAGTATTTTGCAATATCTGTTTTTTATTTTCAATAATTACATGTATTCTCACCTATAAGTTATTGATCTGCCAAATGCAATCATGTTTCATTATCCAAACGAAACAAAAAATCGAGCCAATCAGCCCAAAGCAATCATTCAAGTCTGCTCTACTGAATCACAAAGCACATAATTATTTATAATAACCTTAATCCTGCTACAAAGGGGAAAGTAATCCTAACCCTACTACAAACTAAACAAAAATTAAGAACAGAAACTAAATCAGAATTCCCCTAATTCGTATACACTTGGTGACATACACTACCAATAAGGCCTTACGATTGGGTCAATTTATTTAACTGGGCCTGCTGAGGGGAGTGTCTAGAGAGGAACTGTTAACGATTCCGATAAGTGTGTATCAAATGAAGACGCGTGTTAAAAAAAAAACTTACCATTTACTCATCTATTCAATAGCAAAACGAAAACAACTAATTTGATAAATCGCAGTACATACTTGTAGAGGAGATTTGCAGATGAAGCAGCTTCTTTTCTTTGGGCATCTTTATCTATTTGAAGGTTCTCAAGCTGCTGATCAATGGCTGCAGGTAGTAGATGTGGATGAGTTTGCAATATTTGGGCCAAAAGCTGGCCAGCGGGAGATTCAAATTGAAGAGGAGCAACTGGCACCAAATTATCACTTGAATCCTTTGATGCTCTCACAACCAACCCCCTTGCTCGGCAGTTATATAGTCCGTTTCCCAGCTTTGGGATGCAAAATGAAGGACAACTCTAGAAAAGAAAAAGAAAATTATGTTAGCGCGCCAAGCATCCATAACCTTGCCTTAGTGCCCCATGATGGACATGCCAGCACAGGATGGCATATAGCAATATAGTGCGGAAATAACCGTACAACTTTATTAATTGAATTTCAGCAATCTGATACTTGATTAACGGTTATGTTTTCTTAAATAAGGACATCCTTAACGTCGAAAGCCTCTATGTATACCTATATATACAATGGTGAATAATCCCCTTGGACCCCTTGGAAGCAACTACCTTATGAAACAGATCGGTAGAATCAAAAGGTTCAGCATTGGTTAAAACAAAAAAAGAATATATGGGAGTACAAATTCAATGAAGACATGGAAAAATTAATAGAGCAATGCCAATTAAGGAGCAAGTATCAAATCAAGTATATCACTTTCGATATTTAGAATCACTGATACAAAATGACAGCAAAGCAGATGTTCAGATACCAATGAATGCGAATAGAATATTAAAAAGTTATACGAATGCATCCACTGGCGGATGCAGCAAGGGACCAGAGGGGTCAAGTTGGAAACTTCCCCACTGAAGCTGTATATTGACTCATTGGAGGCCCCTAAACCTGCCTCCATGACCCCTCACGGTATAAATTTTGGATCAGCAACTGAACAATGGAGTTCTCAGGTCCTCAATTAAAGAAAATGAAAACTAAAAATTTTCTTTTTCTACACTTTCCACTTTCTAGGCAACCAAACAGGACAAAATTAAAGTTCTGAACTGGGTTCTATCCAATCTTTCCGCAAGAAACGAAAAGCGCTTTGGAAAAAGAAAGAAAAAACCCAGACGATAAATTAAAATCTAAAAATACCCATTAAATTTCTCACACTTTCTTAGTAGCCAAGGGCAATAGCAGAAGATGAATGAGTGAGTGGAGGAGAGGGCTTACTCTGAAAAATGAAGCTGAAAGAAATGACTTGGAATCAGTGAGTGGATGTGAATGGTTTTGGCCGTGGGCATGGAAATGTCCGAATTCTGGCCACCTGAGACCACCACCGGAGGGAATTACAAAAGAAACGTCGCCAATTACCCCTGAAACCTGCATTTTTTAAAGCTTATTTATGTGCGTGAGAGAGAGAGCCGTGATAATTTGATAGTGCAAGCCGGTGGTTAAAAGCAGTTGGTATTCTTCTTTATTTTTTGTTTTTAATTATATAATGTATGGTCGGTAATTTTCTGCTTTTCTTTGTTTCTTCTCGTGTTTGGGTGGTCAAAGATATTTTTAAGTGACAAGATACGGCTAGTGAATTTCAAAATATGACTTTCGTTGTTGTTGTTTTTTTTTTTTTTTTTCAAAAACAGAGCATACTATCTACACTAAGAGCAACTCCACCATGGTATTTTACCATGAGGGTTGGCAACAAATCCAATTCAATTGCCCCCAAAGACGCCCCAACCCAGTAGGGCAATTGGGATGAGGGGGAGCTCGTGGGAGAGGTTAGGCAGAAGTTCAAGGCCCGAGTGCTTGAGGGGGAACTCACGTCAGCTATGTTCTAAAAAAATTTGCGTCAGGCATGTGGGCAACACGCTCCCATGGGGGATCATCTCTGACATATTTTCAAACGGTGGGGCTCGCGTGTCAGCCCCACTCAGTTGCAGTTGAATCTAGACCGTTTGATTTTGTCAGTTTTAATTTTTTTTTTTTTAAAGAAATGTTACGGTGGGCTACGTGTCACAATTTGGACTGTTGGATTTCAAATTTTATGTAATCCAACGTTTCAGATTAATTAAGTTAATAAAAAAATTTAAAATATGAAAAAAAATTAAAAATTATAATTTTTTTCTGTAAGTATCTTACCATTTTCTCCCACCTTACACCACATTTCAATATTTTCAACGATTCTAAACAAGTAAGGATACGTCGTGCGATGAAATTGGTTAAAAATCTTATCGAAATCTATTCACAAAAATTGTTCTTTCAAATAATGACATGTGGTGTGACGAGATCGGTTAAAAATCCTGTGACGACCCGTCCCTAATTTTCCTATGTAATTTCTCCCCGAGTGTGTGAAATGACTATCATGCCCTTAACGGCAAGTGACATGAATGCGTTTATATTAATTTCTTTCGTTCGCACTTTTGTATTTAAATTTTTACATGCGCGTACAAATTTATCAGTGTTTGGAACACTGTAACGAGGCATGAATTATACATCGAAAGTGTATAAAATCATAAAAGAATCCATCGTTTCCCTAAAAAAGGGGATCCGTGTCTCTAACTCGTCAGCCCTTTTTCCCCACAACCATCTCCTTCACTCACCACCAATCACCATCCCTTCTTTTATTTTGGCACCAATCAGAAAACCCTTACCCTTCTCTTCTCTCTCTCTCATTGTCGTGCTCCCCTTCTTCTCTGCAAGCTTCTCAAACTCTCTTCACAACCTGCAAACGTGACAAACAAACTACACCATCATGCTCATCTCGACCCTAGGAACTCAACCATACCCATGGTTCACGTGTTGACCGAGTTTTGGACATCCAACTCGAAAGGTTCGACTCGGTGAGTTTGATACAGCTATTTTCAGGCCATTCATGGCTTAGGTAAACTCCGAGAAACCCTAAGAACCTCCATTTCATTTCTATAAGTTGTTTTTGAACTCATTTACTTATCTCGATTGAACTCTAGCACAAAAAGCTCGAGGTGAGGGAAGTTGCTCAATTTTCTTTTTCCAACAAAGAGACCGTGGCCATCTGGCCACTTGCATCACATTTTCAGGTCAACCTCGATCACGACTGGACATCTAATAGGTATAGACTTATTCTCTACATTCTTAACTTCAAAATGGCTTTTAAATCATTGAATTTGGTTAACTTTCGAGTTAGAAATCAACTCTAGAAGTTGGGAAGAAATTTCCCAACTTTCTGGAAAAGTTTGGCCGTGGCCATTTGGTCACTTTCAGACCACGTTTCTGAACAACATGGACCACACTTGAACCTTCTATGAAAATGGATCGATTCATCACATTCCTAACTTTAATTTGGCTTTTGTAGAAGTGTTTTGGTTGAGAATCGAGCTCGTTAGGCGCTCAGGAAGTTAGCCCAAAAATCTGCAAAAAATGCAGAAAATCATGGAGAAGGCGAGTTCACGCATAATCGTAGGCGCGTGAACGCGCGTGACCACCCACATGCCATCGGCACGTGTACCGCGTGGCAGGTTGTGCAACCCTTTGTGGCGGCCCGTCTGGCCTCCGGCCAGTGTGTGGTCGACATGTGTGTGTCCGTGACGTCGAATAGATCGATTTCATATATTTAAACCCTAGGTTTAAGCAAACTATGAGGGTTTTATTTAGGTTTCCGTATATGTGCTTTAATTAATTCTATTTTAGTTATTTCACATATAGGGGAAACATATCCCTAGGAATTACGGGGTCAGGCTAGGCTCGAGGGTTATGACCCAGCGACGTACTTGTGAGTGGGTAGTTTATTTTTATGCCTATACATATTTATAGTTTCTATAAATGAGTATTTACTTCACTTTTACGCTTATTTTGCCAAGTATCGTTATTGTGATATTAATTGTGATAAATGCTACTATATGGTTAAGATATTACTGTCATGACATTCATATATATATATATATATATATATATATATATTTGTACATGCTCATCTTGCTGCATTGGTGTTAGTACTCGCCCCAAGGCCAGGGCCAGTCCTTCACGTGTATGTTCACATCACACCGTTCGCTCGGCTTGATCCAAGTTAGGTGCTAGTCCTGTCAGGTAGATTGCACTAGGCAATTCTACTTGTATGTGACCGCTTCTGCACTAGACTTCACGTGATCGTAGTACTAGAGCATATTGATTACACCCAATCATGTTCGTGTCAGAAATTATTTGTTTAAACTCGTGTGTCAGCCTATATGGATGAGCACTTAGCTATACTTGATTATCACATGATTATATTATTGTGGCATTTGATACATCATGATTTGGCATATTTCTGGTTATAATATTGTTGATTCATCGTTTACATACCTACGTATAATGTTATAAGGAAACTGTACTTGTTTTACGGCGAGGGGTTAGTATATTCGAAAATAAAGGATTTCGTGTAAGCATTGTTTTGCTGACCCACTCAACTTTGTTTTTCGCCCCTCTAGGACCTAGATAGCTGTACTCTTTGTCGCACTCGAGGAATCTCGACAGTTCTGACATTCTCTTCTGTTTAGACATACGAACTTATCACTGTTATGTAATAAGTGTACTTAGTTACTTTGACTACTCTTTTGTAGTCTCACTGTCTATTACGCTCTGAATAATTGTAGTGGCTTCTTCCCACGATTGCACACTCTTTCACTATTTAGTATAATTAGTTCTAATCAGTTTTAAATTTACTCACTTTTTACATCGCTTACCCTTATGGTTACGTCACTTCACGGTGATGGCCAGCATGCTTCGACCTTCCCAAGTCGGGGTGTGTCATCTTATCCGAAATTAAAAAATTAAATTATTTTTATTATTTTATAAAATAAAAATTACTAATATTTTAATACGAATTGTCTGGGTTATTCATCATAGGGGTGGAGATGCAATAGGCAATTATTGTTCATTAAAGGCAGTTATTATTCACTTGAGGGGATTGAATTGCCTATTGCCAAGGGAGAGAAGGATGAAATTAGTCTCACAATGGGTTAGCAATAATATGGTTCAAATTTGCCTTTGGTAAGAATCAGACCTAAGACCTCTTACTTACAAATGAAGATGAATATCACTAGATCATAGTACTAGGTAGCAATATGACTTTAGTTAAAAATACAAAACATGTCAACCAAAATGAAATTAAGTACGCGTCTAGTAATGTTTTACAAAACGGTTCTACAAAATTTGTTTTGTAAAATGTTATGAGACACGCCCTTAATTGTTTTTCTTATTCATTTTAATTGACTTTTTTTTTTTTGCTTTAACTAATGTTATATTTTGAAATACACTAGCTTAGGAGGAAGAAATTCTAACCCAACTAAAGTTACATATTTTGTAAATGAAAACAATCTTATTTTGTATTTTCATAGTTTGAGAATGAGTTTGGTAATTTAATTTGAGAATGATTTTTTGAGAAAGACATTCTACACTCCTTATAAGTGTATTTTTTTTTCTAGTTATAGAAAGTTTGGAGTGCAAAATGAGATTCTTGAAGTATCATTAACTATTCTCATATTGAAAATGTATCTGTTAATGGTGGAAGTAGTGGCGGTGCGTGATAGTGGCGAGGGTGATGCTAGTAATAATAGTGGTTGGGAGTGGCAGTGGCGATGGTGGTGGCAATAACAGGGTAGGGAGGGGCCAATGGTGGTGGGTGTGGTGGCAGTGTAGATGGTGATGGTAGCTGGAACGGCGGCGGTGATGACGACAATGATAGTGAAGAGTGGTAATGACAATGGTCGTTGCAAAGCGACGGGACTGATGGTGGCAGAGATGGTGGCCATAGTGGCGGTGGAAATAATAGAGGTGACGGTAGCAATAGCGGCAGTAGTGGTGACAATAGTGGCAGTAGTGGTGACAATAGTGGCGATAGTTTAACATGCCGGTTGTGATGGACATGGTAAGTTGGTGGTGGCATAACATTTTTTTTCCCTTCAAGCTCTGAACCTTAAACGATGTTCATATCTAGTATCAGTCTTTTACGTCAAATTTGCGTTTCTTTTTCTAAACACTTTTTCTTCGATTTTTATTATGTCCTGGTTTGATTTGTCCCAATTTACCAAACCTAAGCCTTTTATCTCTTACTTTTAATCGCATTGTACTTCCATCTTCCTCCGCTGCGTAATTCTCTCAGCTTTGTTCGCCTGGAGTGCTTGACTTCATTAGTGCAATCATAGAGAGAACACTTGGAGCAGAAGATTAGAAAAGACGAGGGCCGAGACCCAAGTTCAATGCCCTATCAGCGCTCAATTAATTAAAAATGTATGAACGCATAGTTAAAGAGCTGTTTAATAACCATTTCGTTTTCAATTTTTGCTATCACTTTTGAAAACTGAAAACTGAAATCTTGTCAGATCAAATTCAAACTGAAAAGTGAAAACTAAAAACCAAAACCAGAAACTAAAAACTGAAAACAAAGTGGTTATCAAAATGTCTCCTAAATAAATAACCCTGCCTAAACCTAGTACCAACCTTGAAACTCATGCTGGATCGACTTAAAACTTGGATCACCGCCACTGGCACAGGTACAACGCCCCCATCAATGAAGTGTAAATTTATCTTCACATGGCGTTGTATCATTTGCACGAAACATTGGGGCTATAATTTGAGCAAAATAGTAACATCACATAACTTGGGTAACTATGGACTTCAACGTGCCTAATGCAACCAACATATAAATAGTAGACATAAGTAAACCAGTTTACAAATCAAGATTTCTGTTAGCGTACCATCCTATACTCAATCACTCTCCCAAGTTACGGATTCATTGTCCATATTTAATACATATTAACTTTAAGTGTGAATGCCACTACCCTTACGAAACAAACAAGGGTATGACGTTAATTTCTCACTCGACATATCATCTTCGGGCGTCAACTCCTAAAGGTAACCCCAAGCAGAGATAAATATGATACGCAAATATGAACATATCCTAAAATATGAAAGGTTAAAACTTCGACAAAGGTCAAACTACACGCTACGCAAAATAAACTCACTGTTGCTAATTGGTTAGATTGTGCTCCTGCAAGAAGGCACCATAAAGCTGAGTTACTCATCCTAGTGGCCACCGTGCTGTTCTGTATGTGCATTCTGTTTAGTGTCATTGCCCAAATGTGGTTCACTTCTGGCAGACCGTATATCTCCATGACCAGGAATTTCTCCAAGCCTCTCCTGTAGAAAGAAAGTAGCATATCCAGTTTAACATGGTACATCCCTAATCAAAATTACATTTCCATTAGAGTTCCCACGAAGACAAAGATGTCTGGAGTCTGGATCCACAAATTGTTATGCGAAACGAAAAACAAGGGTCTGGATCAGAGTGAGAGTACACCACTTATCCCAAACCAATGAACCATGCAGTTAGGCTTATCTAATATACTATGTACGTTGCATTACAAGGAGTTAGAATGTGGCAAGACATTTTAAATGAAATTTTTAATTACCCAAGAGTTTCTGTGAGAACTGGAAAATCTGTATCGGATTGAATTGTCACTTGCTACACAGCCATTCAAATAGGGTAAATGCAAAACGTGAAGGATCTATCAAGATCACCAATGTTAGCTTACTATGTTTTGGATCAAAGCAATCCTAAATCAAGGTTTGCTAGAACAGTTTCTAGTAAGTAATTTGGGATTGTTTTGATGCAAAACAAATCATTCCAAGAAAATTTATAATGAAATTTTAACAGATCCTTCAAGGCAGGATGGGATCAATTAGCTGGTCATTGAATCTCTTTTTTCTTTATAAAAATAGGTACTAAACAAACCAAGTGTAAACATTACCTTTAGAGAAGCATTCTCTGAAAGAAGCTGCTCATACTCGCTCCTGATCTGGTTAACTTCTGATCTTAGAGTGTTATTTTCTTCTTTTAAGACTTCAGCACGCTGGGCCAGCTCATCGCATTCCGCCTAATTTAAAATCATGCATATACATCAGATGAGTTCATATGGTACATACAGTGCCAAGTTGCAAGAGAAAATTAACAGATGCAAAAAATCACCTGCTTGCGCAACCTAGATCGACGAGCGGATTCCCTATTTGACTGCTTTCTTCGCTGTCTTTTCATCTCTCTCTCATCCTGAGCAGGAAAAACTAGAGGTGAGGGCGCTTAAAGCAATACTTTGTGACACTCCACTAAGGACATTGATATTAAACACATATACCACAAAATTTAGACACCAGAAGGAAATCATTCACTCAAAAACACGTACAAGTTCACAGGAAACCATTGGAAACGTCTACCATGCTAGTAATCAATCATAATATCAATGATATATCGTACATGACACTTTCAACTCAAGTATGTAATCCTCCTGCGCAACGAATTGGAGTCTAGATGCTCTATGGGATAGGAATTCTGTAGGTCAACAAAAAAGACCAAACTGCAAAATAAATGTGAGGAAGAAGAAGAACGAAAAGGTTGATATGGTGCGAATGATGTTGGTTCCACACATCAAACTTTCAAGGGCAATGTAAGGCTACCTAAGGATTTCTCAGTAATGTACTATAATGGGATTGATAATATTAGGACAGACCAGTTTTGTTAGACTTGTACGCTTAGGCATTTTTGTAGTTTATGTATCAGAAGTTTTTTGCATTTTTTTTTTGTTGTAATACTTCATACTAGGATGCGGTTGGATTTTAAAAGTAGTCCAGTTACGAACCAATATTATTTCTTTGGGTTTTAAATAGTTACTCTATTTGGCAAATTCTTGTTTCAGACATGTTTTTTTACAAGGATTCAATCAGATCCCTTTGGTCCTTGTAGCATCCCAACTGTTCTCTGGACCTATATTTCCTATTTGTTACCTTGTGCCACAATGACTCCCTTCCCAGAGGAAATCAGAAAAAGCCATTTAATGAAGCAGCAATTTATTCTTGAACAAAAAATTTCCCACACCCATCCCTCCCTGTACTCACCAATTCCCAATCCAACTTAAAAGTCATATTCAACAAACTCTGACACAACCGACCATCATAATCTAATGTAGAAAATAACCAAAACAGTGTTCTTCAATTACTACTTCCCAGCCCAAAACAAGTATTTGCAGCCCATTAATGAGCTTTCAATCCTTTAATTTAGTACTTACCATACTGTTCGATACCATAAACCTTAAAATTAGACCCTAGCATTCACCCCTCCAACTTTTGGCAACAACCCAAAACAAGGGTGATTCTACATCATGTATCTGTGGAGAAACTTATGAAGGACATCAACCTTGCAACATGCAATTAACAAGTACAGTGCCTCTTGACAAAACCACATATGGGCATGCCTTTGTTCAGACAGTCGTCAAGCATCCATCTCTATTTATCTCAAAGATGTATGAAGTAAGGATTTCCCTAAGAATATCAACTACATATAGAGTACGTGTGTTTTATCTGTAGGTATAGCCACAAAACAAGAATAGTATAATACTGAATCATAATACAGGTAATAGCAATCAGATTAAAGCAAGTAGTTGACAAAATAAACATGTGGACTCGCAATCACAACTAGTGGACTGCTAACCTTAACATGGTTCATATTAACTTGTAATAATAGAGGTCACAGCAATGCTGATGAGAAGAAAGCCAGTATGTAATTTCAAATAAGCATGGAAATCAGAATAAGTGAGGAGACACAATTCATGCAGATATCCTAGATGGTTATTGCTTTCTTCAAAAGCGACAAAAAATCGTTTTACCCATGAATTATAAACTCAATTGACTTACCTACACCATGTTTTCATGTAACAACCTCCATCTACTGTATTACAACCACAGAATATAACTGTTTCAAAATTCTATTAACCTAAACGCTAAGAAAGCATGCACAAATACCAATTTTCACATGGAATGCAAGTTGTGCAACTTAAAAATGTAACCATCACCTTGCATTCTCAAAGTTAATCTTCTTCCTCATTTTAATAAGATCTATAAACTATATCTTAATGCAAAATAGACTAACTAAGAGCAGGAGAAAAAACATGATAAGAAGAAAAGAAAATTGAATTTGAAACATGGGAACAAAGATTACTTGTAACCGAATCTGTGACTGAACACTATCCCGAGACCCAGCAGTAACTATTCCTGCTGATACTGGAGTAGTTGGAATCTTCCCACGCATTGCAGGCATGGCAGCAGAAGGTGGAGCACCCCAATAGTCCATCCCAATATTTAAGTTTGTTGCAGGACCAGAAACAGCACCAGGAGCACCAGCAGCCGTTAATGGCATGATGGCCATTGTTTGATTCAACATGGTATGCGGTGCTCCATTCTGGGAACCATGTGCTGAACTGCCATTCTGAGATACATCACCTGCAATAAGGCCATACAATCCTTAGTAAAATCTCTAAGTAAAGATTAACAGCCTCAGAAAATTATATAATCAAACCTTCCAAAGAATCTTGCCTGCCCCCTGACTTCAATTGGGAGTCCTACACAAGCAATGAAAATAAGATGGAAAACAGAAGCAGCTCACAAAAATTAAATTTTACAAAAAAAATGACAAGGAAGAAAAAAAACCAAGAGCCATTCAATAGGGATATAAACCATTCAAGAAGAATTATAAAGATTCCTCGAATAGACCAAACTTCCATTACAAGCAATGCAACATTGACACCAAGCCTTCTACTTACAATAGGCTCGATATAAACAACCCGGGGGTCAGTTTATCTGGCCCAAATAAATTAAACCAAATAATCAACTTAAACAGCATGGAACTTACACTCTGAGAATTTGCATCACTTCCTTCACTTGTACCATCACTAGCACTCTCAGCACTGCATTTCCAAAGCATATTTCAAGCATTACCAAAATTAACATGTGAAAACATGATCCAACAATGAGAGATCCAAGAGAAAACACCATATGAGTCCTGCACTGCTCTAACCTAGATTTGATTTCATAATTAGGATCCAATCAGTACTACACATTATGAGCTACGTGAGCATCTATGCAAACATGATTTCCTAGCACAAAATTATGATCAACAAGTTAATGAGCTTCACAATCACTTTCATATGACTTTTATTAGCTGAAAGATCAATGAAGACTAAAATTGGAACAGACAAAGATACACAAAGCTTATCAAATAGATGGCTTTGATCTCCCTATTCCATCCAGAGTGTTTTAAATCCAAATATTTCAGTAAGGGGGCAGCTCGAATCCCTGATACAAAAGGCCAATAGGCACTAAACATGATCAGTTACCTTTTGGAATAAACTCCATTAGCAGAGGCTCCTGATGTTTTGCCAAGCTCGTTATTCTTCCCTGTAATCATATTCAAACTGCCCAAGCTTCCCTTTGATCGTTTTATTGGTAATTTTTCCTTTACCTCAGATGGCTTACCATCTGCTTCCATGCTTCCAGGTGTGTTACCCTAAATGCAATTTTATAAATTATATCTGCTCTACTCAAATGGAAAATACCTTATCTTAAACAACAAATGGTATAGCGATAGAAACTTACAGAAGCCTCTACAATGCCATTTGGAGTAGGCATAGCAAACGGGCTAAAAGGATAAGATCCCTGTTTAAAGCAAGGCATAAAGAGTTAGTGCCATCCAGAAAATGAGGCTAGAGAGAAATGTGGTACTTCAGCTGAAGCAAAATAGACAAAAACTTACAGGAGGCATAGACGGGTGAGCATATAACCCGCCATGGGGATACATTGCAACATATGGGTGTGGAGGGGTACCATATGGGGGCATAATATGCTGAAAATTAGACATTGTTAATATAAATAAACCAGGTACCAGCCCCTTTGCAAGTTTGAAGCATCAAAAGAATAAATCTAGTCGCATTTTCATCAGTATTTTCAATAACATACCCACTGCCTTTTGTAACCTCAGAGAAAGAAAAATAAATATAAATAGTAGACTGTTAGGAAATAGGAGACAAAAAAAAACAAGTCACTTCATTTTTTTGTATTTGTTGTTTTTGTTTTAGAAAGAGAGAAAAGTAATTTACTTCATCAAACTAAAGAAAAATCCTTTCTAAGTTTAATTCTACAAGAATCCATGGTTAAAAAGACAATCATTACAAAGAAAAATACTCCTATGTCTGTATCCCATTCTTGCTAACATGCTCAGTATCCCAGAAACTTGCAAAAAAGCTTAAAGGCAAGATCTTTCAGATGAACCAAAGCTGTCTCTCAGTTTATTAACACTTTCCAAATGATTTGTAAAGAAAGAATACATGTTTAGTTAAGTTCCCACTGTACTGCCTACAGCTCACAACTCTTAGATGTCCAAAAGCACCGAGTCCAAAAGCCACCGAGTCAAAAATAGCATAAAAGTCAAATGTTTTACAAAGTGCCTTCCAAATGTTGAATAATCAGGATTTATTTCGTTGGTCATGAATCAAGAATCAAGATTAAACAAAAAAAAATAAAGAAGTCTTATAGGCACCAATATACCTGAACCCCCCACATATACGGGTGAGCTTGAGGACTTGAGGCCATAAATCCATGTGGAGGTATTGGAGAATATGCCTGTTGAACAAACAACCACCCACAATAAATTCCAAACATATCTTAAACTAAACAAAAATGCCAAAACTGAGGCTTTTCACTTTGTAACCTGAAATCCCGACCAGTCAGGATTAACAGTGCCAGTACTAGTAGTCGCAGGCTGCTCCTGAAAAGTCCCACAAAACATTAATGCTCTTTTCTAACTACCAATATGATAGGGCCTCAACTTATCATAACAGAGACAATAAAAGGACACACAAATGGACCTGCGTAGTAGCAGGTGTTGTCTTCGTCTCCTTCTCTTTCTCTTTAGCAGGTTTGTCCATCTCTCTGCTACCCATTACTCTATATCGATGGTCTTAAGTTCTTCAAACCATCCTACAATCACTACAAGAAAATCACCTAGAGGACACTGTTGGCAACAGCGGCCATTAATGCCTTAGTCCACAGATGTACAGTGCTCAAATGTCAGATAAGGTCATCACATGAAATAAAGCAAGAAATTTCAATCTATTTATCAATCTCATGATGAACATTCAGACTTTTCGTTACATTCAGTTAAAAACATCCAAAATAAGATCTCTAATCATTGAAGCTGAAAAAGGGAAGCTCCAAAGTATACACAATTTATATCATATTCAATGGGGTTTCACCCCTTTCCTGATATTTGGTTGAAAACCAAAGCATCAACATACAACAAAGACTTGCTCATTACCCATTAATCAGCCGATAATTATATCTGGATTACCATGTACCTCTATTCATTCAGGCAGCTACAAAGAAATACACCAGGTAGTTAAAGTATGGACTTTTCTTTTCAAGCTAAGCCAATTTCTAACATCGAATCATGAGTGTATAACAGAGAAACCAAAAACAGATATCAGGAGTACCAAAATGCCTTTTGTCAGTAGTGGGCATACCAAATTCAAATAAATATAACAGGTAGATCTACTATCAATTTGTCTTACTAAGTCAGTTCTGAACCCAAGCATGAAAGCCCGATATGCATGTCATACGAAAATAACACGAAAAGGAAAAAAATTGTGTGCCGCGTAACACGATTATAGATATAATAGACATTTATTCAGAGGACTGCACCTACTTTCATATCAATTACCATTTTTTCATTGTCAAAACCAATCCTTTCCACGTTGCGGCCAAAATGTAAAAAATTGTAGCAAATCCTACACCAATTGACCCAAAACATGAATCCCAAAATTTTAACAAAAACACAAACCCTAAGATCAATTGAGGAGCAGGGAAATTGATTAATGAGAACATCATTAATCCCAACCCTAAATTTGAAATTCCATAACCTGAATCCTATCAACGAAACAGACAGAGCAAAAAATTCAGAAAAATCAGTTTCGAGACTTACTCATCACCGTGAGGTGGAAGCAGAGGGAGAGGTAGTTGAAGCAATCAGGTGGCGGCAATAGAGCGGAGCTGAAGAAATAAGAAGAAGAAACGGAGGTGGAGAAATTGGAATGGAAAAACCAAGAGAGTGGCTGACGGTGGCGGGGGGATGATGGAGGAAGCGAGCTTCTCTTCTCTTCTGTGTTGTTCACTTGTTAAGGCGTCTTCCTCGATTTTAGACTGAAATATTGTTTTTCTTCTTTCGGGTTCTTCCTCGTTCCTTATTTTTATTTTTCATTTATTTATTTTTTCCTGTACAATAATTTTTTTTAAGGGAATTTCTGTTTCATAACACTTGCCGAGAGTTATTGTAGCTCTTTTGTAATTTTTTTTTTTTAAACACTGAAATTACATGCATTTAAAAGATTAAAATGAAAATAGATAGGTAGGTAATTATTCATTTTGTATGTGAACTAGTTTTGGGTTATTTAGAGTTAGGCACACATACAATTCAGGCTTAGTCTCGTAATAAATTAGTAATAATATGGTTCGAATTCGCTTTTAACTATAATCAAATATAAAATTTCTCACTTACAAATTAAAAAAAAATATTACTAGATTGTAATACTAAATGACAACACACACGTTTATTAAAACTTAAAATAAAATTCAAAATTTGAATTTGATGTTACGTAGGATAAAAGATGTCAGTACATTTTAATTTATTTACAAAACCACGAATAGGGTGTTTGGTACAAATATGTACTAAATAGTATCCGTATTAACTAAACTGGCCCACATCTTTTATACGGTGTATGCCCGCAGCCCGCTTATTTATCCTTCCAGAAATTTATGTATAATACGGGTCTGTGTCCGTGTCGCTCTCTCGGTCTCGCTCTCTCGCATTGTTGTGCCAACTCACTCCCGTTGCCATCGTCAATCCCTATGTTCTTCCTCCTCCTTCTCCTTCTTCTTCTCCCTGTCTCCCACACCCACTCACCAAATCGCTCAGTCGCCAAGCCACAAGCTTCTTCTGAAGCAATGGCTGAAAGAAGAACAGCTAATTCTCAACTGGATCTCTGTCGAAGAATCCAAATCGACTCGATTCGAAAGGAATCCGCGATGCTCTTCATCTTCTTCTTCCTCTTGCACTCCACGGCCCTCGCCGTCCTCTTCAGTTTCTCGTCGCAGTTGTCGCCCTCCTCTTCAGTTCCTCGTCGCGGGACCCGCACGTGTTCGCGTGCCGCCGGTCTTGGATCATGTCGCTCTGCTTCTCGTTGGGTATTATTTGGGCGATTAGGTATAAAACCAACACGGAGGGGCTTCTAGAGAAGTTGTTGGAGAGAGAACGAGGATAAGAATCTTCTGGGAAAATGAATCGAGGAGCTGAAGAAGAAGAAGAATAAAGGGTTGGAGTTCAATTTGTTAAAGGAGGTCGACGCGCAGGAGCAAATTGGTGCAGAATGTTTTGTTCTGCGATTTGTAATTTGGGATTTTACATTAGCCTAGTAATTTGACTGCTTAAAATCCCAAATAAAAATATCTTTTTGTTGTGGAGCAAAGGCATTCTCTGCAACTCTTATCGTGAAATACAAAGAGGTGTTGTGAATAATACCATTGCCGTGGTTTGTTACTATTTATGCACAGTATTTTCATTATTTATTTGTGGAAAATTTGTATAATGAATATTGTTCTCTTTGCTTATAAAATGAATAAGAGGTGAATAAGGAGTAGAGATACGAATGAGAATAGAAGCAACATGGCTAAGAAGAGGAGAAGAATAGAGAGATAATATGGAGAGTTATCTTTATACTCCTATTATTCCAAATTATAATGAAGACATCACTGATGCCCCAAAGACGTACTCTAGTCACACTGACTGTAGAGGAACCTCGTAAATTTTGTGTCTTGTTTCATTTATTCCACTGCACACATCGTCGATTTTACAACACGTTATCAACACGAGAATCTTTCATGTCAGTAGAAAGCACAACGCTATAAATATGTTGAAGCATTACCTACCTCTCACCTCTGCTAGCCAAAATCTCACAGAATAAAAGGTATGTCCATTTTCTGTCTCTCCCACCGCGCCTGAAGCGCCCCATTGAATTCTGGTGAGAATTGAAATTTACAACGACCTGAAGTCGTCACGATATGAGAAAACTCATACTTAACAACTGGTTTCCAGAGATCCATAAGAATCTCATCAGACTTGGAAACCCAGATCGCGTCGTTTTTTACGGATCTCGAGAACTCCCATGAATACTCAGTTGTCTGAGATGGTGATGGCAAGACTAACTTCATTTAAGCCTCCCTCTCTTGTGCCTCCGTCAACCCCATTATCATCTATGTCTCTGTAAGGAGGTTCTTGCTTTACGATGTCATGTTCTCTAGGCCATGCAAGAACAACGCCAGTCTCTGGTAGCCTTTTTATACTGAATTGGTTTTGTGTGACCTCCACAACAACTCAACTGATCCTGGGTTTCGAGACTGGTAGAGACAGACAAAGAAAGAAAAGGGAAGAAGTTTATGGAATATGCATGGCATCATCTGAAAAAGGCAATAATGCATAGCACCATTTGAAAAAGCGAGAAATAAATAAAAAATGGAAAAGGCATAATGATACATCTGCACCATTTGAATGAAAAGTAATAATGGGGCCAAGTTTTTGGAATGATGCAGCATGTGAATGAATAAGAATAAAAAAAAAAAGTAAAGGCTTTTGAATGGCGTTGCACCATCTGAAAAGAAAGAAGAAAAAAATATATATTTATTTATGTGAATTATGTTGGCTTAAAACATTTTCACAAGTTCTATTTACTTTAAAGCAATTTATTTATTATGGACGGTTTTACCGCATACTGCTTTAAGTTTTGATTTATGTGAATGGTGCTGAATTAAAGTCATTATCACAAACTTTATTTACTTAAATGCAATTTATTCATTATGGCTGAAATTACCGCCTATTGCTTTAATTTACTTATTGTACTTATCTTTTGTTACGATGAGTATAACAAGGACTCGAAGTTGCTTGAACAGATCTGAACCTGCAATTTCTTGATCCTCATCATATAAAAATGATTGGACCCGAAGTTCCATCATACAGAAAGATCAGACATGAAGTCTCTTGATCCTGAAGACCAAGACATGAAGTTACTTGATGAGCACCGTAAGTTTGAAGTGCCGTAGTGCCTCGACTTAATTGTAATAAAGGCCATAAAAGTCTCAGTCTACAGACTATTAAATAAGGACCAGAAGTTTCTTATGTCCATACTCAAAATGGTTTAGCAGAAGCCTTTATTAAGCGGATGAAATTGATTACCCAAACTCTGCTCATGAAAACAAAATTGCCAATTTTTGCATGGGTACATGCTATTTTGCATGATGCATTATTAATTCGGTTTAGACATGTTACCAACCATCAATAGTTCTCAGTACAACTCGTGTTTGGCAACTAGCTAAACATTATACATTTACGAGTTTTTGGATGTGTTATCTATGTGCCTATTGCACTGCCACAACGTACTGAAATGAGGCATCATCACGAATTAGGCATTGATGTTGAACACCATCTATCATTCAATATTTGGAACCCTTGACTGGGGATATGTTTACCACGTGGTTTGCGTACTGTCATTTTGATAAGACAATTTTCTCGCCGTTAGGAGGAGAAAATAACATCGTTCCAGAAGAACGATGAGACAATATCATTCCAAAAGAATAATGAGAAAAGACCGTTCCAGAAGAACGAAGAGAATTTGTCTTATTTTAATTCACGAAGCAATCAACATGAAAATGAAGACAAAATAATTGAATAATGCAACGATATATCAATAAAATATCAGATGCATTTAATGATGCAAGAAAGTGATGAAATCACATATATTTGCTGCAAATGTGCCTACAATAATTGATGTCCTTCTTGGTAAAAAATAATGAGGCAGCAAATGATTTATTTGTTGCACGCCTAAAACGTGGCAGACCCTTAGACTCAAAAAGATTCAGTCTTCCAAAAGAGGAAGAATATGACATTCCTAAACTATTGCATTCCCGAAGTATAACTGTTGCATGCCAGAAGCTTGATAGTCGCCGCA